TTCTAAGAACATAAGAAACAAAATTGAAATTCCGTTAGGAAAGCAAGATTTAAACAAACAGAAAGAGAGGGCAACTAAACATTAGGCATACATTTTCTGAATTTCAAACAAATATTTGAAATAGTTGATATTTTTAAGATCCCCCCGTTTATTTAAAAGAATAAATGCTCTTTATGCTTTCCAGAAATGATGCCTGGTTTTCCGGTAATGCTAGACGGAATTCGAGTATACTGCAATCGATAATCTTTTTTTTTTTTTCATTTGCTTGCACAGCTTGCGATGGTTATTTGATATTGCGAAAACTCAGGAAGTTTTATGGTGATGAAATGGGTGTTGAAAGAGAAGTAACAGTTTACTTTAAATACTAAAAGCGTTTAAATGAAGAACAATCGCAAACCTTTTCTTAATATTTAAATTTAAAATACTATCTTTCGCATGCCGAAATCTAAATTAATGTTAGTTAACATATGAATCAGGAAATATAAATTATGTTGGGTTAAATATATAAATTAAAATGTTAGGAGAATGACTCTTCCGCAAAAAAATAAATTTGATTTAAGAGGTTAAATGAAAATTAGTTATCAAAAAACTGCAAAATAATTGTGTTGCTTTAAAAATAATAGTTTAAAAATTTACTTTTTTGAATCATGCATAATGCTTAAATGATACTTTGATAATATGCAGTATACTTTGAAACTGCGAAATAGTTTAATGCTTCATTTTCAAATTCGTATTTTAAAGTAATAATAATGGTGGTTATTTACTTAATATTTTAAAATTGACTTTTTTTGGTCTTTTATGTAAGAAATTTCTTTGGTCTTTTATATAAGGCATATTTTGGTCTTTTATTTAAGACATAAATATGCTTTCAGCATATTTATGTCTTAAATATCTAATTCAGCGTCTTAAACTTTCAGCATATTTATGTCTTATATTTTAGTATATGTGCTTTATTAATAAATATTCTTTAACCAGAAACACAGAATGTACTATCAAATATTTCGGGTACCTAATAGTTTTAATAATTTTATACTTTTCGGTTTAATTGTTTTTTTAAACATAATAGTACTCAAATATGTTTTGTGTGTAGACCATATAATTATTGTATGTATCCACGTACAGTAGCGTGCATTATCTCTTATCATTCATTTATAAAATTTTTGATGTTTAAAAATGCGTAATTCCTTTTTTTAAGAAAACTTTTTTACTCGTCTTTTTTATGTAGTAGTAGTACTTTACGAGGGTTGCTATTTATATTTCTGGCCTAATAATGAAAAAACAAATATGTAGGATCGAAATTGGTTTTACTGTTTTTCAAAATATTCTACATGATGATCAATACATTTTTGCATGCGTTTGAACCAATTTTCAAAGCACTTTTTCCAGTCCGATAGAGGTAACTCCAAAACATGCGTTTTGAATGCATCAACCGCTTCTTCGGGGGTCGAAAATCGTTGTCCACATAATTTATTTTTGATGTGTGGGAATAAGAAGAAGTCATTGGGTGCCAAATCAGGGCTGTACGGCGGATGACCCATCAGTTCGATCTTTCGCTCCGTCAGAAATGCCTTTGTTTGAGTCGATGTGGGAGAGCTCGCATTGTCATGATGAAGAATGATTCACATGTTCTTCTGCTTTTTTCGAATTTCTCCGATGACTTCAGGCAAACGAATGGTCATGTACCATTCAGAATTGACTGTCCTGCGTTGCTCTAACGCCACTGTCGCCACATGACCGTTAATGCCGAGGAAACAGACAATAATTTGTTTCGATGTTCTTCTTCCTCGAGCAACTTTTGTTGGTTTTGCCTCGTCTTGGAAGACCCATACAGTTGATTGCTACTTTGTTTCCGGCTCATATGCTTAGATCCATGATTCGTCACCTGTGTAGATGTTATACACAGCCTTTGATGTACCTCGAACGTATTTTTCCAACATTTCCTTGCGCCAATCGACACGAGCCTTTTTTTGAGCGTTTGTCAGACTATGCGGGATCCAACGCGAATTATTTTTTTTAAGCTCAAATGTTCATGCAACATTTTATTGATGCTAGTCATACTAATGTCCAAAGACGCCTCTATCTCACGGTATGTCACATGACGATCNACACTCGAAATTTTTGCTCTGTTACAATCGTACCCTGTTACAATTGACCCCACTCTCCCTTACTCAAATATGTTTTGTGTGTAGACCATATAATTAGTGTATGTATCCACGTACAGTAGCGTGCATTATCTCTTATCATTCATTTATAAAATTTTTGATGTTTAAAAATGCGTAATTCCTTTTTTTAAGAAAACTTTTTTACTCGTCTTTTTCATGTAGTAGTAGTACTTTATTAAGTCCTATTAGAGCTTCACAATGGGCTATTGGTGACGGTCAGGGAAACATCTCTGAGGATGATCTGAGGACAGTTTTTTTTACTAGAAATTCAATGACCGTACTGTACGGTAATTTTTAAATGATTTTTTTCTCCGTGCAAAAATATATTATTTTCCGATATTTACTTTGTATGAAAAAAGCAAACTAATAAAACAAATATACACTACTAATTCTTTTCTTCGATGGTACTAAATTTAAGGACGGATAAGTAATTAAAAAACTATTAAATTAAAAAATAAAAATATTTTCTTAAAGCAGTCTCAGTAATATTTTAGTAGTGATTAATTTGCTGATTTTTGCAAATAGTTTTTAAAAATACATTTTTTTATGATTTTACAAGTAACGTTGCGAAATAGATTAGGTTTTTATATTTAATACTGAAATCTACTTAAATTCTAGTTTCATTACCTTCCTCGAGGAGAGAGAAATAACTATAATATCAATATAAGAGAGACATCAATTTCATCCTGAGTGCCGATATTTTTTACCGTAAAATTTTACAGAACAAAAATCTGATATACCGTAATTTTCATAGTAATATTTATTTAATTACAGCAATTTTATAGTAAATATTACTCTAAAAATTAAGGTGCATCAAATTTTTCGTTCCGTTGAATTTTAATAGTAATAGTAATTTTTACAGTAATTTATTGCAATTAAATAAATATTGCTGGGAAAATTACGATATAAAATTTCAGGATAAAAATAGATTTTACGGATGTTGCAGTGCTCTTTACCGCAATTTTTCAAAGTGTGGTCTTAATCGCAAGATAATAATGACAAGAAATAAAATAGTGTCAAGAAATGATGATAGAAAAGACGAAATGATAGGGCAAAGAAAGTATGTTTTGTAAAGGAGATAAGGGCAAGATGGTAGGACATTAAGTAACTAATCAAGATTACTGGACAAGCAGAAATAAAGGATGGGGATAGTTGACTATAAAGGACGAAGGATAAAGAAAGATTACTGTATAAAAAGGATGAGAGACTTTGATGTAAAAAAAAAAAAAACAGAAGAGAAAAAAAGGATTGTCAATTTCGGGGAGGCTATTTTTAATTTTTCCATTAGCCAATAACACCGCAAACCAGTTTGAAATGAAATTGAAAAAATAAAAATGTCATACATTATACTATAAAATAACTAAATGAAATTGGCTTAAGCAGTTCAGAAATAGAAATACCTATTTTGTAAAAGTGCAAAAGGAGTATAATTTTATGTAATTCTCTTGTATTTTCCTTGCCCCCCGTTCTTTTTCCTTTAAAATTGGAACTCCAAATGGTCACTTTGAGCCTAGAGGACGAAGGCGAAATAATGAGGATTAAGAAATAGGAAGAAAAAAGGAATATGATTAAAAAAATGGTTTTTGCTCGTAGCATGTATTTAAAGCACTTTGTCTTAGTGTTATATCGCGGGGCCTTGCATTAAAAGCCAAACATCATAAATGTATAATCATGTGAATGTATAATCAAGTATTTTTTAATCATGTGTATGTATAATCAAGTATTTACTCTTAGCATGCGGTATGTGATGACCCCTGTCTGATCGGACAAGTTAACAATGCTGGTAGCTTTCTAACTTATCTTTTCATGGAAGTTTTACTGAATTGTAAATAGTTTAAGTAACTGATAAAATATTATTCAAACTAAAAAGAAGAATGGTAAAAATTTTTTAATAACAATACAACACCACGAAGTTCTTATATTTAATTAATTTTTTTTTATTGATTGGAGGAAATCAATTTAGTTACAATCACAAATATTTATTAAAAATACAAGCATAAATTATATAAACTAACTTATTTGAATTAATTTAAAATGAACTTATAAAATAAAATCTTAACAATTTTGAAATAACTTAGATGGGAATTGGGGACCTTTATTTACTCTGAGGCACCGCGTCTTTTGTAGCAGGTAGCGGGCCCTATAATTTACGGTTAATGCTCCTACTGATTACGTTACTCTATAGCTCGTCTCCGCTGATCTAAANGTGATGACCCCTGTCTGATCGGACAAGTTAACAATGCTGGTAATTTTCTAACTTATCTTTTCATGGAAGTTTACGTTTACTGAATTGTAAATAGTTTAAGTAACTGATAAAATATTATTCAAACTAAAAGGAAGAATGGTAAAATTTTTTTAATAACAATACAACACCACGAAGTTCTTATATTTAATTAATTTCTTTTTTTATTGATTGGAGGAAGTCTATATAGTTACAATTACAAATATTTATTAAAAGTACAAGCATAAATTATCTAAACTAACTTATTTGAATTAATTTAAAATGAACTTATAAAATAAAATCTTAACAATTTTGAAATAACTTAGATGGGAATTGGGGACCTTTATTTACTCTGAGGCACCGCGTCTTTTGTAGCAGGTAGCGGGCCCTATAATTTACGGTTAATGCTCCTACTGATTACGTTACTCTATAGCTCGTCTCCGCTGATCTAAAAACGTAAAACGCATTTCACTTGTTGATCCTTACTACGCTCCCAATTGCACTGCGGTCAAGGCAATCCAAGGTCGAATCATCTTTCAACCAGTGATTGTAGAAAGCACTTCCGTTTGGCCTTCAGTTTACTGATCACTAGATGGCAGCACTTACTTCCTGCTTTTTTCAATTGAAGCGCAATGTTTTATTTATGTTTACGCCTTTAATTAAATTAAGACAACATATGTGATTCTAACTATTGTGTTTTTAATCCTCCTGTTTTAATTAAATTTCTGTTACAATTTTCAAACTGAGAAACATTGAGTCCTATGATGTTGGTTTCAACATCATAAATATCGAGCGCAGTAAATAAGAAATACCAATTTTATTTACAACGAGATTTGCGTTTCAAAAAATAGAATGCGGATTTTAAATATTCTTTTTCAAGTTTCATATTTAGTAAAAAAGATTATTTATGGAGGAATCTGCTTGTTTAATCACACACGAGCAAAACAATGTATCAGCTTCAGATGGCGAAAATGTCCAGAGCTTTCCTTGGAAAAGTGAGATATATATTTATATAGCATAATACATATTTTTTTTATTGCTTATCGATATTTTTTGTTGTTGCTTCAAATCATCTATTTAAAAGCTAAAACGTAAAAATTATTTTAAACCCATGAAAAAAAATAATTTTTGAAATTTTTTTTATTAATTAAAAATTTTATTAGTTAAATTATGTTAATAACCTTATAAAACCTCAACTCTTTCAAAAAGTTTCTTAATCAATGTGATAATATAGAAAAACTTCGCCTTGATGTTTTTTCTTATTAATAAGAAATGCGCCAACTTCCGAAACTATTCTTGTACAAAAATGTCTCTTAAAAGCCGCCAACAGACGCTATTTCTGCATAAAAATTAGTTTCGTAAAAGTTGTTAACTTCACAATACTCTTGTACAAATATAAGTAAAAAGTCGTAAACTTAAAAAGTAATTCTTATACAAAAATATATTTCATAAAAGTAGTCCACACTTTTATACATTATTTTATGCATTGCTTTATATATTATTTTATTTATTTCTTTTTTGAAGGAAAAAAAGCCCAATGAGAAAAAGAACACTTATTTAAGAGCAAATTATTTTATTGCACCCAATTTAATTCCTAATTCTGTCTATGAATCTTTTTTAATTTTTATAAAGAATAATTTTATAATTTTAAGATATGTTTCATATGCACTTTATAATATTAAATAATATATACAAAAATATGTTTCATAAAAGTAGTCCAGACTTGTTTTCTACAATATTTTATGCATTGCTTTATACATGCTTCATACATTATTTTATATATTTATTTTTTGAAGGAAATAAAAACCCAATGAGAAAAAGAACACAAGTTTAAGAGGAAATTATTTTATTGCACCCAATTTAATTCTAAATTCTGTCTATGAATCTTTTTTAATTATTATTAAGAATCATTTTATAATTTTAAATTTTATTGTTGAATTAAATAAAGCAATAGATAATCAAGATACTTTTTGCTAAATCTGACAGCTGATTCCAAACTCTAACATATTTCTTAAAGAATATATAAGTTCATAGTTCCCCTATTATTTTAACACATGAAGATAAAATTCTTAGCGGTGAGACAATAGAAGTCTTTAAATTCATTATATTAATAGATTTTTTCTTAATTTTCGAGCGTATTTTATCCAAAATCTTTTTATAATTTCTAAGAACGGGACTGATTGGTAAATATGAATCTTCATGAAAGGGCGAGATGTTGACTTGGTTCTTAAAAATCGTATTATAACCACGAGTTTTGTTTTTGTACTGCTTTCATTTTCACTTAAAAACTTCGTAATTTGTCTGTTCAATCCTATAAAGTTGTCTACTTATTTTCGTTTACTTCGAAATGCAACAGCAAGTTTCACCAAGGAAAAAAGAATTTTTTTAATGACAAAATAAAGAAGAGTGAGAGAGAAAGTGATAATCTTTATATGCGACAGTTAATGTTAATTGCGATCCATTATAATTCCATTAGCCTCTAGAATTTTTGCAGCATAGTCAAAGGTTTCTTATCGTTTTTATAAAGTTCTAAATCTCATGTGTTTTTCAAGTTTATAGGATTCATAACATTCTATATAGGCTATCGATTTCTAAATGATAGGCCAGTTCCTAATTACTTGAATGCAGAAATATTTAGGGAAAAGCTGTGTAGCAATCAGCCTTGCAATTTTTAACTGCTTCATAACATTCTATATAGCCTATCAATTTCTAAATGATTATCCAGTTTCTAATTACTTGAATGCAGAAATATTTAGAGAAAAGCTGTGTAAGAATCAGCCTTGCGGTTTTAAACTGCTACACCTGGAAATAGACTATATGAGCGCCTTTACGATGCTAGATTTTACACTTATTATCTATAAAAATAAAATATTTTATTGGTAGAACAGGAATTTTGAAAAATATTATAATCTAAACACGTAAACATCGACTTCCACTAATTCACATCAGTTTGTCCTGCGATAAATATTCTAAATATCTGACTTACAAACCATCTGGCTACCATCCACTGTTTTTTCTCCTTTTCCACTATTTCCAATATTTTTCACCAATATATTTCCTTTTAACCTTTACCTTAACCAATATCTCCTTTTAACCTTATTTACGTTGTTAACCTTTTATAAACGATTTCTTCAACTTCTTAAATGCCAATGCTTCAAACTCTGTACTGACCTTTCACTGAATTTACTGAGGGGGTTAAAGGATGAAAAGTTACCACAAAAGTTTTTAAAGACAGTAACTTTTCTTCAAATTCAAATTTTGTATTTACTTCATTAGCTTTGGGAATACTCTCGCAAGATGCCTTACGGTCATGAATATTTGTTACAAACTCTAAGCAGTTATAAAAATAGTGTATTGTCATCAGTGGCCCCCATCCCCCCAAGCTCTTGGGAGCATTCTTGGGCAAATTCTAAATTCCCCCCCAAACTATCCGTTTTATTTAGTGTAAAAATCCCCCCCAAGCTTTAAGTGGGCGCATCGTGCGCCCCCCTTCCCCCCTGGTGGGGACCCCTGATTGTCATCTGAGACTTCGAATAGCCCTAACATGAAATTTCTGTAAAATGCCTTTTTTTTATTTATTAACCTCTTGAAACTCATAATTTTTTCCCTCCCACATCTATACGTTACATTAAAACTTTCACTTTAAAACAAAAACTTAAAATATATATATATATATGTTACGGTGAAACACCGAAATCTGGAGAATGTCGACATTCACCGGTGAATGTGTAGTCGCTTGGTGTATGTCCGAAATATTTGCTAATTACCCTTATTTCTGACTCTCACCGGTGAATGTCAACAATCACATAGTCGCTTTGGTGAATGTCCGAAATATTTGTTATATCCAATTTTATATTAATTTATTCGTTAATATTATTATATTTATTTGATATATTTATATTTATTCTATATTTTAATACTTACTGACGATAGATTAGAAGAAACATCAGTGTTTGGAGTATCGGGCAAATATATACCGGGCAATGGCACTTGACCTTAAAAAAACATCAGTGTAGGGTTAAAATATCGAATAAATGTAATTATATCCACGAATAAATTCATATCAAATCGAATGTAATAAATATTTCGGACATTCACCAAAGCATATCTGTGATTGTCGACATGAGGGTCCGAATGTACAAGAATGTAATGAAATATTCGATCTTTCACCGACGTATTTGGTGTTTGTCGACATTCACTGGTGAAAGTCAACAACCACCGATTTCGATCTTTCGCTGTGATATACTATATAAAAAAATATAACTTCATCTACAGTGATGAATGCATAACAACGCAATGAAATTCATAATCAAGAAAAATATGATATTTAGTTTAAACAAATATGTAGGTAATCGTTGCCTTTTTCTTAAAATTTAATGTCAATGGAAGAAAGAGAAATACGAGCAACAAGTTCTATTTTTTATGTATTAACATAACTTTCTATTTGTTTACGAATTTCATCTTGCTTATTATTTCTTATCTTGTCTATCTTTGTGCTTAAATGAGCAAGTAAAAATTTAAGCAAAAATAATTGGTTATTAGTGTTTGAAAATTTTGGAATGGGTGATGTGCAGTTAATGTCGAGTTTGTTGAATGTCGATGTTTGTTGAATGAATGTGAATTCGCAAGGAGATAATTGTCTTGTTTTATTTTTGCTATTTCTAACTTGTGTCAGAAAACTAAATTTAGGGATACATAATGACTGGATAAATTTTTAGCATTAAAGAGAATAAAAAATGAATTAATACTAAATTAACAAATAAAATTAGATGAAAAATTATAGAATGAGAAAAAAAGTTGTTTCTAAGAGTTCTAAATATTTATGTTTCAAAGAGTTAGTCATTTGTTATGAAATTATGCTGATGAATTAATTTGTGAAAGGAAATTTTTTTTCCTTTCACAATTAATTCATTAGCAAGGAAAAAGGTGTTTTAAATTATTAAAATGTAAAAAACTGTTGAAATTAAAAAAAAAAGAAATGTGCAAAATGAGGCCATTTTCTTGGGAGACATATGACTTTGACTGTCCGGACAAATTACGGTAAAAAGTGCCGACACTCAGAGTGTGGGTACGTTTTACCGAAAAATCCATTTTTGCCGCAAAATTTTATGGAACAAAAAATTTATATTCAGTAATTTTTACTTCAATATTTCCTGTAAAATTACCTAATTACTGTAATTAAACAAATGTTACTGTAAAAATTACGGTATTAATTTTTATGGTAAAAATGCAATTTATTATTAAATAGATTTGATATTGTATTCAAGATGCCAGTAATTTTTACCGTAATTTGATTTGGAATTATTTACAGTTTATATACTTATAATAACTGGGTATGTTTTGCTTTTATTATCAATATCAACTTATATTTGAAAATAATTTATAAAATACATATTCAGTTTCATTGGCCGTATTAGCAAATTGCTTACTTTTATTAAAGGCACTTTCCGAATGGTGGAACAATATTGTTAACTACAGCTCATTTTAAACTTTTTCTGACACTAATTTCATAGGCACTAAATGTCTTATAGTTATGAAAAACATTGTTTAGTTTATAATATTACCCCAAAAATATATTTTTTTCTATTAGAGTTTAGGACATCAGATTATCTCGAACAATAAGTTACGGGAGAAGTTAAGCCGTTGCGTTAGTTAAGTGATTGGATAGTTCATTATTTAATGCGTAAAATAATGGTATTTTGTGGCAATAATATCTCCTAAAAAACATTTAAAGATTTAAAAAAGTTTTAAAGATAGATAAATAAGTTTAAAATACTTACTTAAACTGTATTGTTGAATTCATAGCACATATTCGTTATATTTGGACGCGCATCAAAACGCTGAATAACTAACTTTAAAATCTTTAACACAGTATAAAACTTAATTATTGTAAATCCATTTACTTATACATTTACTAGCTATTTACATTTGTTAAAGTAAATAGCAAGTAATCGTTCAATAGAAACTTTATTCTCTTATTTTTATTTTTAAGCTTCTGAAAACAATTTAAAAAATCTTTTTTCGGCTTTACCTTCACTATTAGTTAACTATACGATTGTTTAAATTGACTCTTTTTGCTTGCAAGAATTCATTTTGAAGGTTCATTAATTTCTTCAAAGGTTCATTCTAATTTGAAAAGTTCATTCATTTCCACAAAACTTTTGCAATAATTTACATTAACTCATGGCACGAGAAAGAAGTATAAAATACTTTAAAAATTTTACTATGAATTAAATTTAATTTTAATTGTTGTCAAAGCTTAAAGTTTAATAAAAAGCAGTTTATCTTAATTTCAATTGAGGCAAAATTGGAGAAACTTTTTAATAAATAAATAAATTAATACATTTTTTGTTATATTCATAAGTTTTTTTTTATCGTTACATGATGCAATAATAATATTAGTCGAAGCTATCGAGATAAAAGGAAAATACAACATTCTATCTTAATGTTATTAGCTAAAATTAATTTAAGATATTAATCGGAAATTTTAGCAACAATTAATGTTAATTCCTGATTTGAGAGAGAACCATTAACTTACTTTAAAAATTTTACTGTGAATTAAATTTAATTTCTATTATAGATTTGCAATTGTAAATAAATTTACAATTGCAAATAATAAATAATTGTAATTAATTGCAAAATAATTGTTAATTGAAATATTGTAATTGTAATTTAAAATAATTTTAATTAATTGTAATTGTTTAATATTGTAATTGTAATTTAAAATAATTTTAATTAATCGTAAAATATTGTAATTGTATTTTAAAATAATTGTAATTAATTGTACATTGAATTAAGTACACTTGCTTTTATTTGTTTTTTGATAACTCAATTTATCTAGAAAATCAAGCTATTAAAGCATCAATCATAGTTATCATAGTTGTGTTACCCCTTCAATAAAAATAATTTTTTCCATAATTAACAATAAAACAAATTTGAGCAATATATTGTAAAATTACATGTACTTTCGCCAAGCGATGTCATATAACTAAGTACATGGCAAATTAAGTAATAACACAATAAATTTTTACCGTATTTACTGAAATCGATTAGGTTATAATTTCAATTTCGTTTTTGTACTAGGTATTCAATAAGTAATTCAATGAGGTACCATAGACCTAAATTTTTTGACATTAATATATTTTACTGTCGCAAATTTAAATGCACCTCATCCTCACACCATTTCATTATATAAAGCATTATTCATCGCATTTTTTCATTCTTATGTAAACTTATGAAATTTCATGCATGTGATGCAAGATTAAAATCTCATTATTGAGGTATATCTTTTATCTTATCGCCATCCTTTTAATTTTTTTTAAATAAAACCGTTTTTTTTTTCATTACGGTGAGTATTTAATTAGCCAATTACACTCGAATTGGACAGCTGTTTTGTAATATTTTTTAGAACTTTCAATATATATTTATGGATAGTTATTTTTCCTTACTCTCATCATTATATGGATGGAACTTACTTGTTACTCATGCCTTCTTTCGGTTTATCTTTGTTATATAACTGAGAAACGACATTGTGTGTGTGTATGATATTATCGGAAGGTGTTTGACTGGGATTTGCGGGGGGAGGGGAGTAAGGGTAATAAAGGGTTAGACACTTAACAGTTCAAATGACGCCATAAGACCAATCTTTAGCTGAGCGTTAACTTTGCATTTTGAAGGCTGAGCTCACATCAGCACAGAATTCACTCATGGGATTTCATCTTTTCTGTAAAGCTTATTTTTACGGTAAATATAAATTTAATTTTATTTAAAGTATATAGTAAGAAATAAAGATAATTAAAAACAAAAATAGTAAGTCAGGGGTCTACGAATTCTGGCCTCTCGATCGTCAAGTCGTCAAAAAATTGCAATAGCCAGCCAATATTTTTACACAATTTAACTTGTTTTTTTTTCTCTCTTTTAAATACTGATGGCGTTGGTAAAAATTGACTCTGTGTTCTAGAAATTTTTAATTTTATAGATTCCTGGTTTATGAAAGGAATAACAACGTAAAAGCATTAAGGAATAAAAAAAAAGTTTAATTTTTCTTTTTATTACTATAAGCTACTCTATCTCCTTATTACTTCTTTTAATTTTTGTTAATTTTAATTATCAATGATGATCAATCTTGATCATTGAAATAAAAATTAATGAAAATTAGGGGGGAATCAAGCACATATTTTTTAAGAAAAATATTTTTTTTTTGTTGTATTGGTATTTTTAGAAATTTATTAAATTTTTCCACTATTCGTTTAAAATTAATTTTTTTTAAAGTTTATTTACTCACTTAAGCTATATATGTAAATTTATCATTTTTGAAATTATCTATACAGTATCTAGTTTAAAAAAAAGGAAATTTTTAATTTATCTAAGCTTTATTGATTTGAGAAATGCTATTAAGACAACAGTGTAGAAATACATTAAAAAGTATCGAATGTAAAAAAATTATGTTTAAAAAAAGTTTCAATACTGATTGATACGCTTGGTTGATAAGAAAAAGTAAAAATTCATGTAAGGGATGCTGAAGTTTTAGATTAAAATGTTTTTATAATATAAGGACATCATATTATTGTGATTAAAATAGTCAATTTATTGAATAATATCAACAAGTATATTAGTATCAGTGAGAAAAAACTTAGATTAGTCTCTTTTTTGATATGAATGCAATTAAATTATTTTTTTAGTTATGAAAGTTTTTTTAGTTTAGTTCTTTTGTTTTTGTAATGTGCATATGAATACACTAATTTTATTTTTAATTTTTGACAGGTGGCGAAATGCCCTGTGTCAAAAACAAAGTTCCTATTCTGGCATTGACAGGACTTCTAACTGCCAGTTTTGGAATTGTCATGTTTTTTATATTCCCTCTTATTATGCAAGCTGAAATTAAAAAGGTATGATTTAATAAAAAAATAGAATTCAGATGCTGGTGAAATTATGCTCTGAATGATTTTTTCACTAAAAATTTAATCACCTCTTATAAATTGTGTTTGATGTGTCCTATCCAAACGCAATGATATATATCAATTGTCATTAAAAAAAAAAACCAAAAAAGAAAAAGAAAATTCTTTTTCCCAATGAAATATTATCGTTTTTAAGCACAAAAATTGTATGGAACAGTCCATTTTTTGACGAAATAAATAACAATTTTTTGTTATTTATTTCGTCAACAACAGTTTATGAGTCCTCGCATTGAAAAAAAAAAGCTGTTTATTATGCGTATTATGCGACTTATGCTTAATTAGTACCACCAGCTCGAAAAATTTCAATTTGAACAAAATATGTTTTAGTCGTTTCAACTTGATTTGTTAGTGCGTTTTTCTTTTTGTTGTTGAAACTGAAATGGTTGAACCTTTTTAGGAGTATAAGTATAACCATATGATTAATATTCATGAATTGTTGATCTATTAATTTCTTGAATAATAAAAAATTTCCATTCTAAAAAATTTTATTTTATGCGTAAAGTTAAATACCAGCCGCACAATTGAATGTCAAGCACATGTTTTTACTTTTCTAGAAGCATCTTTGAAAATTATCTATTATAATTATCTATTATAATATTGAAAGAACTGTGGCTTAAAAAGAAATTCATGGGAAAAAGTATTCAACAAATGTTGCCGCTTTTGAAATGTCCAACATGAATGGTTTCTCCCTCTCTCTTTTACAAAAAAAGTTCTATTTATAAACTTTGTAATAACTCTACTTTGTACTATTTATATCCACTACTAGTTAAATTACTTTTTTAAACCTTATATAAAATGATTGAGGAGTAAAATAATCAATCTAACATTCAAAAGATAGTCAATAGATTATGTCAATCTGTCATAACAGAATTAAAAACCCCTTTTTTTTTATATCAACTGCATTTTAAATTACTTTTCCAAACCTGATATAAAATGATTGAGCAGTGAAGAGTTCAATCTAACATTCAAAAGTTAATAGATTATGATAATGTGTTATAACAGAATTAAAAATCCTTTTTTGTAATTCATATCCACTGCTTGTTAAATTACTTTTTCAATTCTTATGTAAAATGATTGAAATGTGAAAAGTTCAATCTGACATTCAAAAGTTAGTTAATAGATGATGCCAATGTGTCATAGCAGAATTAAAAACTCTTTTTTTTGTTATCAATATCAATTGCTAGTCAAATTACTTTTTCAATTCTTATGTAAAATGATTGAAATGTGAAAAGTTCAATCTGACATTCAGAAGTTAGTTAATAGATGATGCCAAAGTGTCATAACAGAATTAAAAACTCTTTTTTTGTTATCAATGTCAATTGCTAGTCAAATTACTTTTTCAAACCTCATTTTAAATGATTGAAATGGGAGAATTTCAATCTAACATTCAAAAGTTAGTTAATAGAGGATGCCAATGTGTCATAACAGAATTAAAAACTCTCTTTTTGTTATCAATATCGACTGCTAGTCAAATGACTTTTTCAAACCTCATTTTAAATTATGGAAATGTGAAAAGTTCAATCTAACATTCAAAAGTTAGTTAATGGATGATGCCAATGTGTCGTAACAGAATTAAAAACTCTTTTTTTGCTATCATTATCAATTGCTAGTCAAATTACTTTTTCAAACCTCATTTTAAATGATGGAAATGTGAAAAGTTCAATCTAACATTTAAAAGTTAGTTAATGGATGATGCCAATGTGTCATAACAGAATTAAAAACTCTTTTTTTGCTATCAATATCAATTGCTAGTCAGATTACTTTTTCAAATCTCATTTTAAATGATTGAAATGTGAAAAGTTCAATCTGACAATCAAAAGTTAATCAATAGATCATTTTAATGTGTCATAACAGAATTAAAAACTCCTTTCTTTGTTATTAATATCAACTGCTAGTTATATTACTTTTTCAAACCTTATTTAAAACGATTGAGATGGAAAAAGTTAAATCTAACATTCATAATTTCGTTAATAGATGATGCCAATTTGTCATAACAGAATTAAAAACTCCTTTTTTTGTTATTAATATCAACTGCTAATCAAATCACTTTTTTTAAAAAAACCATTCCTAAAACTATTACGTTGTCAAAACTTCAAACATTTATGTGCTAATGCATCTTAACATAATTAGTAATCCTTTGGTAATATTTCGAAACGTTTTGAAATATCTTATATAACAAATTCGTGTCATGGTCAAGCAATATGATCTATATTGTTTCAGCAACAGAAACATAAAACAATCAAGCATAAAAATCAAAGATGGTAAAACCAACCAAAGAAAAGTCAGATGTCAAGGACAGCAAACAATAAGGCAAAGATGGTAGTTAGAGCCTACGAAACCTATATTTTTCTCTTATATAACTTATTAGCGTATTATCCAACCATTGAATTCCAAGATTTTCCTGATAGTAAACGAAATTGCTTTAACTGTAGGATCTAATTAGTTAAATCATTGAAAAAACTATTAATCTTTCTTGAAATACATCTATCTATAATAATAGAATGAAGAGTTTGTTTGCGTGTGTGTGTGTGTCCTTCTTATATAACTCAAGAACCGGTAAGAGTTACAGATTTGAATGGTGGACAGTGGGTGAAAAGGGAAATTTCAATGTGCCTGATGCTAAAAATCGTTCAATAATTTTAGTTATACCATTCGGGAGAGACGATTAAATAATGTAATTTTTTCATTGGCTTAGACCTTGCCATTCATGAAAATGATACTGTTGCCAACGATTAAAATATTTTGAAGATTACATCAGTGATATTTGCAAGCTTATAGCTCTAATTTAAAAAAAAAAGAGTTTTTGCTCGTTCGTAAATATTTAATTATTTTTTATTTGCTATATCAGATAAACTCAATGAACAGCATGAACATAAAGCTTTGACAAATTACCTCATCGAATTATATTTTTAATAAATATTTTAATAATTAAAATAGTACTTGTAAAATTATTTGAAACCACGTGTTTATTTAGTTTATAGTTATGTGGTTTTAAAACGCACATCATGATTTTAAAAAGCATTTCATGAAAAATCAAACAATAATAGACGCCAATGATGTTTATTAATTTTGGTAAAAAGTAATTAAATGAAATGAAAAAAATGTTATGTACTATAAGGCAAAATTAATAGAGAAATGGCACTAAAAAAGTTCGGACTGGTTCGGATGTAGAAGTTGAAGTAGCAGTCTCAATCTCACAACTGCGTCAGGGGGCAGTTGTCATTTTGAGTTTGACTCAGCAGTGAGGATACTGCAATATAACCACCAAAACTCCTTCAATAATGACAAGCTTTAATATGGATACAGTGAAAGAAGTTGTTTACGTTCCCTTCTAAGTCTTATTCATCTACGGAGAACTAGTATTCAACTAGTTCCAAAGAAAATAAAACTCTACTATTATTTTAAAATTAGTAATTTGACGAAAACATATACTGAGGTTCGATATTTGAAAATGAATAAATTAATTAAAGAAAACAATTATAAAAATTTGATTTGGGCATAAATCATAATTAGCTGATTTGCTTTGGTTTCAAAATAATTATTTATCGCTACTATAAAAAGTTTCAATACCGTTTAAAGTTGTATTGGTCATTAAAATATTTCCTGAAATTTGTATGCTAGTTTCAATAAATAAATGTTAATTTAAATTTAGCATATGATTATTTACATATTTTAGTGTTTCAGAGTAAGTGAAGATTGTTAATGCAAGTTTTAATTTTTCATATTAATTGTAAAATGATTTCTGCGAAAAATGTAAATTTTTTTCTTCCTTTGTAGAAATTAGTTCTAAAAGAAGGCACTGAAGGATACAAAAATTGGAACGATATTCCTGTACCCATATATCTTTCTATATATTTTTTTAACGTAACTAATACTGATGAAATATACAATTACAAAAAGAAACCCGTTTTGCAAGAATTGGGTCCATATACTTTTAGGTAAGTGCACTCAATAATCATGAGTTCATTATTATGCGTATATACTTAAAAGCGCTTGTAAAAAGCAATTATCATTGTTATTATTTTAGCAATTATCATTGTTAGCAATTATCATTCATGTTTTAAAATTAACATCATATGGTTGACATTAATTTTTAGAAAATTGAAATATACGTGTAAATTAAGCTACGAGACTGGTGACGTAACGTTCTATGTGACAACTACGACCCTACGTAATTTGAAGGCGGTGATAGATGGACAAATACGTGTTAAGTATGAGTGTGAACTCAGCAGGTTTACGTGATTGCTCATTGTCACCTTTCCATTGAAACAAGTTTTTGTAGTGCGTTCTAAAAATGAGTAGCATTAATATGTATCAACGGCTTACTATCAAAGCGTACTATCAAGGCGTACTACTTGAACACAATGCAATGGACGTTTTTGCATAACTTTAACAATCCTACGGAGACTATGTTCCGTCTGCCAGATTTTTCACTGATTTAAGTCTTTCTCAGATGAACACAATGCGATGGAAGCTTTTGCGTAACTTCAGCAATCCTACGGACACCATGTTCCGCCTGCTAGATTTTTCACTGATTTAAGTCTTTTTCACGTGAAAGAATGTCGATGGAAAATAAATTTATGCAACGGAATAACTTCAACTGCAAAATCAGATAAAAATCTCAGCAGAATCCAGGATCTTATGCATTCAGATTCTCGACTGTTGGTCAGAATGGACGAATAATTGTTTAATATGATTCTTTCAATAATTTGATTCTTTTCTTTGAAGACCAAAAAAGAGTCATATCTGTGAGACCGAACTTCAAGAGTAAGCATTACGACAATGTGCTGTGTTTTTGGCCGATAGACCGGGTACTCTTCAACCTGCTAACTTAACTGATTTGAGTTCATGTGATATTTATTTTTCCCGATATTAAAAATTGATCGCTATTTTGAGATTCAGAAGAACTTTTAAAAGCCTGTAACTGACCATCAGATAACGACTATTTTAGTATACTTGTTCCAGCACTGCTATGAGTTGTGGAAAAACCATCTCCGATATTGTGTGGCATCCCTAGGGAATTATTTCAAAGGAGACTATATTGAATTGTAATGCTATTTGAATAGAAGAATATATAAAGCATCAAACTCATTACTTACACACATTGAAAATCTTCTCTTTTGTTATCAGTATTTCTTTTTACGTTAAATTTGTGTAGCAATTAAGTTATAGTTGTGAATGAGAGAGAAAAACCAGTAAAAGTTATTTTTCAATATTTAAGGCGTTCAATTTGTAGAATCTAAATGCAATAATTATCAAGTGAAAGTAAGATTGAAATCATGAAAACAAAATTGATTACTAAAGAAGAATGAATAGCGATGAAAGACAGGGAAATGTGATTATAAGAAACGCCTTTTATTTTACCCAATAGTGAAATTGGTTTGGATGCTTAACTCACTTTCACTAGGAAAAATCTTGATAATGAATGGTCAGTTTTCGCTATTATTTTTGTTTTGTTTTTTCTTTAGATATTAGTATACGGTTCTCAATGTTTTTAATTTTGTTCTTTATTTTTGATAAGGATTATAAAAATATATACACGGTTATTCATAATTCCCTCCGGGATTTCGAAGCGTTATAGTAAAAAAACGAAGACGAATATGGCAAAAAAGAACATATGAAATAATTCTGAATGTATTCAAGTTTTAATTTAAGCAGTTGCCGGTAGATGGCAGTAACATGTACCACTGAAGTTAGTTGCAGTAAAGAAAAATGGCGTTTACAGACGGAGGGAATTATAAATAACCCTGTATTTGCAAAAAAAAATCACTTTAAAGCAAAGTTACGCAAATGGGAGCTACATTGGTTAATACAGAACACACCACTACACTTCTACGAAGTGAAACACGACTGTTATTGAATATAGTCACTCTGTACAATTGAGCTTTTATGATTTTAAATGGGGCTGTTCATTGATAATTGTTACAGAAAATCGGATTCATTCAAAATGAGTACACAGGGTTTTTATGGAGTACCCAATACATACCCAAAAGGATTGAGGTACGGTGATTTCGCCAGCTTCACATATGATAAATGTCCTTCTCNATAATGGTACTTTGACATACAAGCAAATTCGTCATTGGTACTTCGAGGCTGATAAATCGAATGGTACGCTAGATGACGTCATTACTTCTCTGAATGTTCCTATGGTGGTAATTAGATTTTTTCTTTTTTCATTTCTGGAAATTAAAAAACAAATTTTGTTGTTAATAATGCCCTCTTTGTACACGTGCTATTTTCTCTACTAAAGAATTTAAACATCTGAAAATATTTTAAAACTATTATTTTCTAAGGTATAAAAAAAATAAAAATAAAGATATTGTGGTCGGTGTGGTATAGGAAGTAATATACGAAGCGGTCTACATACTTTGTTTTATAATCGTGTATTGACGGAGCATAAATGTAAGTGAATTGGAAGCAATAATGGTTGGTTGGTTGGTGTCGTATCCTCTATAGAATCATATTTCATGGTGTGCTTGAATAGTTTTTGTTATTTCTATGGCATTAAAAGAATACAAATCCTCTTCTGTGGGGTAGTTTAAAAGGGGAAGCAATAATGTTTATCTTTATAACCTTGTAATTATGAACAAGACCCTGATGACAAGAATTTCTAAGTAAAAGTATCAGACAAACCCACTTTCATGAAAGACATAGAGGGAAATTGTCTAAATTAACACTATATATACAAGGTAAAAATGAAGAAAACCAACTCAGCTATACGATAAGTAGTATATTTTAGCCCATTATCTGTTTACATCTGTAGACATTTTAACGTTAGCTCAGCACCTTGTAATTTTGAACCCAAACGAGAAGACAAGTGAACTCCTGGATCAAGTTTTGGGAGAAATTAGCTTTCGTGGAGGACTCTTTGAGGGAATTAACCGGCATTTGCGTTGCATGGAGTGGAAAAGCATGAAACCTCCCACAGTTAGCCTGACGGCAAGGGAACTCTGACCCATAATCCGTCTACCTTTGAGGATATTTTAGTTCAGCACTATGGTCGGTGCGAGCCGGATGCGGCATTCGTATCGACCAGCCATAGCATTCGAACCTGGTTCACTTCATTGGATGGTGAACCTATCCCCTGCTCCTCCACGGCTCTAGCTTAACACTATAGTCGATGCAAGCCGAGGTTGATAATTTGATAATTATTTTTAAATACCCGATGTTTTATAGATTAATGATTTTTCTAACATGATGAGGTTTAAGTAAATATTTTATTTGAATCGTTACTTGAAAAAAGGGTTCCAGTTCCGCTTACTACTTTTCGAAACAAAACTTAAAAAAACTATTTTTTGCTTTCTCTAACTAGATCATAATTTTTTCAGACCCTATTTTTTTCTATTTTAAATGCTTTCTCGCAAAGTTGTCAAGACTCAAGTTCTTTCTACATTTAAAGACTCTTTTAGTTTTATTTTATAATTTGCGCTTAACAGTCGATTTAGTTACCGGATGGGTGCGTTTAATATTTAATCTATTGATTATTTTATTTCTAATAAGATGGAGGCTATGTAAATATTTCCTTTTAGCTTACAATATCAATTCATTTAATAGCTTTCAGTGCCTACACATCCAATATTGATGATTTTTTCTAACGTGTTGAGGTCAATATAAGGATGTTTTTTCTAATTTGATATAGCCTATATATATTAACTATATTTTTTTCTTATCTAAATGAATTCACGATAGAATTTATTTCTTCAGTCTCTTTTCAGGCAGCTGCAGCAAAGGCGAAGAAAATGAACCTAGTAAGCTTTTACTTGGGCTTAAATGCTCTATTCGCAATGTTACATCCTAGATGGTTTATTCAAAAACCAGTGAGAGAGCTGCTTTTTGACGGATACTCGGATATTCTTGTAACACTAGGCCATAAATTCATGCATATTCCTTATGATAAGTTTGGCTGGTTTTATCAAGTAAGTCAGATATTTTATGCTTTCAGTGTCATTTAATGGGTGGATTAATATTTACAATATTTAAATGCATTGAATAACAGTTAAGTCGTTTTGGTCCATGGCGCAAATTACATGTTTGGAAAAAAAATATAGCTTTATTTGTCTGAAAATTTTTTAAAAATGTGTCCTTAAAAAAATATGCTGATTTGAAAAAAAAAATCTTAAAATGTAAGCTTGAAAAAAATCGACATAGCTCAAAATGAGTTATTATAGGCAATAAAAGAAAATGATTATAGGACGGATTGTTTCTTAAACTAATCAAAAGTATTGTATTTTAAAAGAAATACTGTAGTTAGAATAAAAAGGAATGATGGATTTTCAAATTTTGAAAAATGAATTTTCAATATTTTTGGCGCTTCCTTTTTTCATGAGAAATGTTGGAGTTACAAACTTGGGGTCTTTGTTTAACGTTGAAAAGGCATATGTAGTGCTGTCCAGTTCAAATAGCAAGATTTTGAGTGTCCATGCCTTCAAACAAGCATTTCAATTTACGCCTGTTTTTTAAACACGCATTTTCAACTATATCCATTTTTATCAAATGCCTATTCCAGTAGATTTCACATTTTGCATAATTTGAGCTATCTATAAAGTTAAAAGACCAGCATGATTTGGCATTAAAAATACGCGCTTAATTATAATTTTTGAATGAATGGCATGTTGATATAAATGAGGAATTGCTCTGAAACAGTAAAATTACTGCTCGTAACTCGATTCTGTTGTGCTTTAAATCAATAATTACTTATTTAATCTGCGTGCTCGATATGTAAGAAAATTTCATTAAATTGTAGTCCTTGTAAAATAACCATGCATTAGTATACTTTTGAACGTTAAACTTAAATTTATATTTTCTTTAAGTTAAAATTAAAAAAATTCAAGGATTATGTTAACATTTGAAAAGTTATAGAGTTTAATTTGATGTACGACCATTTTATACCCTAATGACATTGTATAATCTAATAATAATTACTTTAATTTTTTTTTTTTTTTTACAGCGAAATGGATCAGATGATGGAATAATTAACATCCACACTGGTGAAAATGACATAAATAATATAGACGAAATATTCACGTGGAAAGACCAAAAGTAAGCATTAAATCATGCATTTTTAAGACATCTATAACATGACACAATTTGCAATTTTTTTTACACAAATCATGACATATTATTTTGAAAGAAATCTGCAGCGACTGGAAACGGATTTTCGTCAAAAAAGTTCTTAAAAATTAATCGGTTCTACAAGCATTAAAATCGTTATTTTACATCTGATATGAGTTTGCGTAAAATTTATTTGTCCATTTGTCCAATTAAAACAAAAAATGGTGCGTATTATTTCCCAGGATATTTTTTCAACTCACACTTTGAAAACAACATTCTCAGATGTGTATTGCATCGAATTCTAATTTGTTTTATTTTTTAATATGGAAGGTATAAATATTTAGTAATCGCCATGTTTTTATTAATAATAACTAGACAGCGGATTATATGCACTAAAAAACTGACAAAATATGCATGCAAATATGCACTAAAAAACTTAAATATATGCTCTTAAAACTAGAAATATGCATTTAAAATAGAAATTAAAAGTTCAACTTATTTAAATACACACTACTTACTTTTTCCAACAAACACAGCTAAAACATTTTTTTGTTAAAAGGAAGAAAATCAAAATATTTCTTTCTTGAATCTACACATTTCTGAAGAAAAAGCCTAAAACTGAAGTATAATAAATGAGAGAAGAAAAATCATCGCATTTTCCGGAAAGATTTTATTAAACTGAATAATTTTTGTTGCAATTATCACCACAGAAGATGGATCCAAACCTGACTACATAATAAATATCATAAACAAATCTAATCCAATACCACTTGTGAAAAAAGTATACAAAACAAAGAACCTCGTTGAAATAAAATTCCATGCACATGATGATAAGGTCAATTTGACAAAAAGCATTAAAAACAAACTCCACTTCAAAGATAAAGAGCAACGACTTACTCCGCTCATTATACTTAATGCGTCATCTCACTTCGATAGCACAGACANAGTATACAGAACGAAGAATCTCGTTGAAATAAAATTCCATGCACAAGATGATAAGGTCAATTTGACAAAAAGCATTGAAAACAAACTCCACTTCAAAGATAAAGAGCAACGCCTTACTCCGCTCATTATACTTAATGCACCAGCTCACTTCGATGGCACAGGCATCGCTAATATTCTCCAAAGAAACTGTGACACACCCAGCAACAATAACGTAATAAAATACGTCAAATCCATACCTCATAAAAGAGCTACAGACAAACACCACATCATAGTCAACGTCTCTCATAAACTCGCAACTAATCTCCTTTCGGCTAGATTCATCTTCATAGGACTGAATAAGTGGATGTTCATGGTGTCAAGGTCTTGACCACCAGACTCATCAATGTCAACAGGAATTCACAACATGCGTGACCTGTGGTAGCCAACATCACTCCAGCGAATGCAATTCAAACACCCATCACTGCATCAACTGCTGGCACTCTAATACGTACTTTGGTACTTAACACAATCCCCATCACCCAGCCTATGCTGCAGATTGCCCAAGCTACAAGACTGCACTCTCAGCACTTCGATCAAATTTTAATCCACATTAACTTATCCTCCTGTGCAATTTTTGCACACAGAGATCTGTATCGATTCAAAATTCTATGCCTCCACCCCGGCAGTTTCAGTGACTCCTACATTCTTACAGTCAGTGACTACTTCAAAACTTTAATTTATTCTTCTTGAATTCACAAACTTTCAGTTGAACTCACAATTCTCCATGAGAAATGCTCAAAACTCTCTTATTCACAAACTCTAGTTGAATTGATCCCCTTAAAGAGAAACTCTAAAAACTCCTTTTCTTTTCTTCTATGAGATTCAATTACCTTTTTCTTTTCAAGTATTTCAAAATTCCTATTTTACAGCCTCTTAGAGAGCGCTTCATACCATGCATGTAGCAACTCTGATATTTTTACCTATCAATGTTACTTATCCATTAAGTTTTTAATTACTGTCATCTATTGTGACTTTCTTCAAAATTTTGTTTTTCATTTACACTTTCTTTATTCGTTTTCTTTTTATTTAATCTTCTTTTTTCTTTTTTTTTTTAAATTTTTTTTTAACTAATGTGATGCACCTATGTATTATGTGAGATAGACCTGTGACCAGACGTGGACTATACGGTTAAGGGTTTTGCAAACCTAGGTACGTGTCCACGTCTGGAAAAAAAGAAAAAAAAAGTGCCACGTTCCCACCCGATAAAAACACGCCTATTATCAGGATGAACGGAAAAACGGGATTCGCCTGAGAAAGGAATATTACACCATTCATATCTCCTCCAGTTTACATGCTCTGTCGCTTACTCCTTGCGGGCGTGACGGTGCCTTCCTGTCTACGTGTTACACAGCATTGGTCGGTGAGCAAACAAACTTACTCCGTGAAGGCGCTTTCCGACAGTTTGTGTTGAAACTGTAGTGCCAGTAGTCGAGCGAATGTGTTGTAGTATTTATATTTTGGTGTCTCCGTGCTGTTAGCGTAAAATAACGGTCTTCATCACGCATTGTTGCACGTCTACGCCCTTGCCCTGATTTTCGGTCTGCATTTCGTCTCCAAAAAACGGTTCTAGATCCTGGAAATTATACTTTGTAAAACTCCAATGGCTACTGCTACTTCGGCTTGTCTTTCACCCCCTCTAATCGGCCAACAACTTCCCAAGTTTCTGCTTTGGTTAGATAACTTCGTTGAGACATCGCACTCATCGAAACAACGCGTTTATTGAATGTCGATCATTCTTTTCCATTTTACACGAAGTTGAAAGCCAAATCAAATTCGCTGCCGCTAAAGCATCGTCTTCGGCGTCAAACTCATAATTTGCGTACTGCGAAGTTTGAAAATAAGAAAAATTTGCAGTTGTGATATTTTCCTTCCATCATGCAAAAAAAAAAATTTGTTTATAGGGGAGAGTGGGGTCAATTGTAAC